GGGGGGTGGTGAGGGTGGGGGTGGAAAGTTAGGAAAAGGGTCAAGCAACGATGGGGAGAAAAACTTAAGTCAGAAAGCACTCTATACAATGCTACCTTACAGCTCTCCAGTTCCTTTCTTATCACCAGGCCCTTTCCTACACTGTTCTATTCTTTCTCGAGGGGAATGTTTTGGGGACCAAACAGCAATCCACTTTACCTTTTCAGTATGAGTTGCCCTTTCCCCTTTGGCAGTCTTACTGCAGGAAGGAAGGAAGACTCGACTCAGCACTATCCCCAGTCAGTCAATGAAGAATAGCTGGCATCTTCAATTGCCCCCGTACATCCCCAAGTTAACGTTAACACCTAGTGCTAGCAAGGTTCATTATGAGGACAGAACAGACAAGATCTGCAGTCCAATTGTTGTTTCATTAGCAAAGTTCTTAACTGTTCCAAAAGCTGCTAGAGATCACTACAAACCACAATACGACGCCCAGGGCTTTAGAGCCATTTGTTTTCACTTACTGTCAACTTCAGCTACCTCTAACAATAGTACATTCGTTTAATTTGCACTGCATTTCTACATTTGACATTCTCTAACAAAACCATAACGGCATAATCTTTGCCCTGTCACAGTTTGCACTTTGCACTGACACAATGGTATATCCACTTTTCTGCTCTATGTGCCAAAAAACCTCCAGGACATGCAATCATCTCCTTCACCATATTAATAATCCGGGATCTTGGACAGTGAGCAGAGCTGACATGATTTCATCCTCTCTGCAGCACTACCATGCTGCTCAGGGAAAAAACACAGCCACGCCAGGCACCAGACCTGCCCTACTGCAGCTACTGAGCGTGTTTCCTCTGCTGCATGACAGCTCCGAGCAATCTTCCACATTAGAGACAAGTGCCTGTACTCTACGGTGAAACAGGCTCTGACCAGGGTACTTCTCTTCATATCTTAAAACAGGCTGTCAGCTAAACAAAGTACTTCTCTCTTGCATCTCCTCAACATGCCAAGACTACAAGTGAATAAGGTAATAAAGGCTAGAAAGACCAGGTCAGGTGCCTGCTACCAGTCAAAATTACCAGTGAGGGCTTTCCCATTTCTTCCCCGGGTCCTGTTTTGCTGCTACAGGGTAAATACCATACGCCACTTATCTGCTAGACTGGGGCTGATACTGATTATGATACTTCCAGGTTCCCCAGACCTCTTGCCTTCACCTCAGCAGCCCAGACATATTAGGTCTTCACGCTGCCTGCTTCCCAGCAGTGTCCACAAGGGAATAATAAATTCCAGTCTTGAATTAATCTCACTGACGACTTTGCTCTCTTGCGATAACCCTGCAAGCTCTCCTCAGTCTTATTGTGACCTGTGCCCCGCTCCATCACTTCTCCACGAGCCTCTGTGCTCTTATCCCTCCCATCCCACCACAGCCTCAGACACACACAAGCACACGCACACACTCTGCCGCGAACACGACAGAGATGGTGTGATAACTACCTCGGGTGACAGGGACTCAGGCCTATGCGCAGGGGAACTCTCAGGGGAGGACACGTTCTAGAGGAAGGAAAAGCATCTTGTTATTAATCTACTTAAAAAGTCAAGAAGCAAAATAAAAGAAAATAAAATACAAGCACAGAGGTTAGCCACAGCTATTCTAAATAAAGACTATCCCAGGAACTTACCCCAGCTTAGATGGCAACTCTATCGGTTAAGAGGCTTCTAGAGCTTCCCAGAAGCACAAAGATGGGACTGAGTTACTGTATTTTATACTATAACTTAGTATCCAAACTACAGCACATAAAGGTTAAAAAGAAGCATCTTTTTCTTTATATTTCTGATGCCATCACATATAGAACTTGCACCATAAAATAGAGAAATCAATGCACGGCATTTAGTCCAAGGACATGGGAAGGCTGGAAAGCCTAGTTTTGCCCAAAAGACAGCTAAGATCCCTCAAACACTACAGTGTATTTTCATAGACATTACTCTAGTAGAAAACAAGAAACGGCTTCCTCAGTCTACCACAGGTCGTCACTCCAGCAAAAGTCAAGAGAATAGGTGTGAACAGACAGCTTTTACGATGCATCATCTGAGTATATATCAGAGGGCAGCTCTTGCGCACGTGATGGCATGTCTAAGGCCTCCCCCCACAGCCTCCATTTCCATGTTACTAAGCAGCCCTAAAATAGAATCAAAAAGGAAGGTTTCCCAGACATACAGTGCAGCATCGGGGAATGGAACAGGAATTACTGCCCTTTGCTAAGCACAAATATTCTGAAAACTCAGGAGAACTCTCAGAATCTTCTTAGCCAGCTGAAAAAGCTTTTAACAGACAAACTCTACAGAAAAAGCAGATGCATGTTACTATGCTACAAGTCTCTCCTTTGAATATGGGTGGGGCCAATCTCAAAAAGTCTGAAAATTGAGTTAAAAACCTTAGTCTATAAAAGCCTGACCAACTTAGAACTTCAGAAGCTTATGGAACAAACTCTTCAGAGAGCAGCTGGAGGAGAGTAATCAAGAAGGAAGTTCCTCAAAAGACACAGCTTTAAAAAACTGTATTCCCCAGCAAGGATACGGTGGATCATCTTCCACTCACTTGTGGAGGCTTGTAAACCGATGAAAGAATCTTTGTTTTGTTCTCTTCCACCAGTGACACGGTCACAGAACTGAAGTATAAAATCTTTATACGTGGTGAAATACTCTTTCAGGTTAGAATTGATGATAAACAAATGAAATAAACATGACATTAAAATGGAAGTGTTATGAGCAAGCAGCATTTAGAGAACTATAGAAGTTGGAATAAAGAAGCCTAGTGTCTACCAAAACTTTTCCTAGAGGAAAAGGAAAGTAAAAAGGACAACTGAGGTATAGATGCCCAGGGAAATCTAGGCTTCCTGCATCCTACAAATGGCAACAGAAATAACTAACACTAAGGTGGGACAGGAAATAAGTGACTAGACCATGGAGGTCTACTGCAACACTGCCCTGGCCTGCTATCTCAACTAGAGCACAGGTAGAGATCATTTTTATATCAAGCTCTGTGCCTAAATCAGTCTTTCATCTCCCTGCTCTGTGCTCCACAATATTCCCCACCAACCTCAACAGATCTCCCTCTCAGACAGCTTTCAGCAAAGGGCTCTCATGGAAATAATCAAAAGCACACTAAGCTAAAAAATACCACAAAGGACTCTGGGCACTGCTGCAAAACAGATGAAGGATTGCTGCAGAACAGTCTCTAATATGAGGGCAGTCAGTCACTGCATAAAAAGTTTTTTAATGGTTTTAAATGGCAGAGTGTGATGGCAGCAGGCCTGAAGAGTTCTATTTTTTTAATGAAAATATGCACTAACACAGTAAAATTGCAAAAGGCATGGTCACTGTTCACAAGCACAGAGCAGCAACATGAAGTAGAAGTGGAAGCTCCCAGCTGCATGGATACCGATAACCCTCCCACAGAGTTTAGAGCAAGGGAAAACCACCTAAACAGTCTCCTCAGTATCTCTCCAAATTTTTGCAAAGGGAAGCTATCACGAAACCAAGGGCACAAGGTATTTTCCTGCTATACTGTCGATGGAATGGAAAACCAAAAAATGCAGTGGAAGCCGATCTAAGATTTCTACCATACTTGGGGTTACTGCAAGCTGTTTAAAGAAAGAGGAACCGTCTCTCTTTTTGGCATTCCAGTCTCCTGTTCGATTTACCTCAAACTGTAGTGGAGTATTGCAGCGACTAGCAGCCAGAGAAGGAATTGGCGAGAACATCATGCCATAACCATTGCGACTCTCCTCCTCTCCTGGCAGAGATGAGCAGGGTGTAGCCAGCTGTGGGCTCACCGAGTCAGGAACTGAAGGGATGGGAGGTGGAGGGGTGACCGGAGACAGAGGCCTCAGTAACTTCTTAACGCTCTGCTCCATCAAGTAGCGAGACTTCCATTTCTTCAGGGGACTCAGCAAGTCTGAAAAACAAACTGAACTGAGGATACGGTTGCCTGTGATTTGCAGTTCATAGTGGTGCAATCTCCTTCCCTCTGCTCCCAACACAATTAGAGCCCACAAATCTCCAACAGGACTATGACAGACTCCTGAAAAAGAAACACCTCCAAAGTACTTCTATACCGGTCTTGAGACAGGTCTAGGTATTGATAATAAAACAATACACGATCAGTAGCGTTGTGAAACAAGGAAGATAAATATTTCAATTAGTAGAAAGCAAGCATGGGATAGAACACAGCGAGCTAAGGAAAGGGAGCCAGAAAGAGATAAAAACAGAGGCAAGAGGTCAGAAGGAAACATCACTCCACTACTGCTATGAACAAATCACAGACAGCAAGAGGTCAGAAGGAAACGTCACTCCACTACTGCTATGAACCAATCACAGACAGCTCAGTTTTCATTAAATGAACTCAGTAGCTCTCTATAGCCTATATAAATGCAGCCCAAACATGTTCTTTCCCACAAAGAGCGAATCCCTTCCCTCAGGCCTGCCCATCCTATATGGGCCTACACTTGCTCCACCACTGTGAATTATCTGCGATTTAAAACTTCTGCTCATTTTTTCTGAAAAACACACAGCATCTATTCTGAGATATAGCAAGCGTGCAGATGTAAGCTCACAGCAGGCTAAAAGCCTGAAAGAATGCTTTCAGGTAACTAGTATACAATGTCCACAGATGTTGTGCAGCGTGCAGAAGTGTCCGCTCATCCTAACATCACTCCAATCTGCAGACTGTTTCCCTCACTGTGCCCTGACCAGGATGTCTCCTCATCATCATCTCTTTTGTTACCATCTGAGGCACTCTAAAACTCCAGGATGTAATTTTCACAGCCTTCTTTCAGTGATCCGTTTAATCCTTGCTCCTCTCTCTGCAGCTACCGACCCACTGATTCTGGTGGTCTGTGATACAGTATGTATTTTTCCCCACACTCGCTTTGGATGTCTCAGCTCAAGATCTCTTAAGCAGCAACCAGGAAACGTCCCTACTCCAAAGAGAAATCCTGAGTCTCCTCTCCTTCAATAACCAGGGATCTCCTTCCTGCGCATTGCCGATGGCAAATTGGTCTAATCGGACAAATAGAGCTCTAGTCTAGTAGACAACTCCATGCCAGTGTTCAATTTCCAGCTTGCTTTTCACTTGCACTGAGCAGAGCCTGACAGAGCGCAGTTTGGTGCTGCTTCAGTCATCTCAGGACCATTACCATGGGCCACATGCTCCCTCATTAGCTCGTCTTTTGTTGTTATTTTCTTGTTCCTGACTGCACATCAACCTCCACTCTTCAAAAGCCCATCCACTGTCTTTTAGAAGACTCCTTGTTCTTCTAAACAAGGGAAGCTTGTCCCTTGTTCTCTTCACTTCCCCAGGAAAAAGGGTCGCACTGTAAAGCCCAGAAAAATTCTCAGTCCTGCTAGAGCAGGAGATGTGATAGCCCCTTGTTCCCTGCTTTTCTTCTCCTGAACTGTCCCATGCTGGAAGGTCTCCAGCTGTTTACCTTCTTCCTCCAAACCAGCTGCTACTAAGCCTCTCTTCTCTCTTCCCACTTCAGGGCTCGGTTAAAAGCCATTTGCTTGAGATGCCAAATCCTGTTTAAAACCCAATCTGTTGCAGTCCTCCAACTCCCCCATGTTTTCAGTAGCAAGGCTCTCCCAGAACTCCAGCAGCTCCATAAATGGAATAAAGCTTACTTCTGCCAAATTTGCCTTCGCAAAGCTGCCAACCAATGTAGGCTTCAGGTTCCAGGATCTCTTAAGAGTCAGTCTGTCATCAGTATTAAGCAAATCTCAGAAAATGTGTGCTCTTTAGTTTTGGTCTTATGAATTTAGTGAGCGGACACAGTTGTGTTTGTGCCCTTCCAGACATATTTCAAATATCTTAAAATATTATTTTTAATGTTCAGTTTAAAAACAAGATCAATTTTTTTTTTTTAAAGAGTGCTCAATAAATTCTGCAGTTCGCTTGTTTGATTCTTCAGGTCTTGCTCAGGAACATGGATTTCCTGGTTCCGGCACTCTGCTGATTTACCCACCTAATTTTTCAATAATCAATTCTCTATTTTCTGCATGTTGCCTAGCTTCCTGTTATCCTTGGAAAACTGATCCCCGATTTGGACAGATCTCCACCTTCTTCCTCTGTAAACTATCTAACAGTTCTGCTGCTTTACCCAGATTTTAGCATCTCCATCTCTGAGACTCTATTACTTAATCGTTTGGTTATTACATGCACACCTGTAAGATTTTGCTATAGTTTCTACAGACAGCAGACGTTTAGCTGCCTAACAGCATCTGCCAAAACAGAGTCGCCTGTACTCCTTTCTCCCTGTCGGACAAACTATCACACAGCACTAAGGTTAGTGATACAAGATAAAGAAATTGCATTTGCATTGGAAAACACTGGGAAAGTTTATACATATTCAAACTAGAATAGGTCTGTAGAAATTTGAATGAATATCAAAGAGCATTCTCACTTGCCACAAATACAAGCTAAAACGTTTAAAGCATGTACTACTGCATGAAGATGTCATCCTGCGTAGCTACCTTTGTTAATCAGCAGCTTCCTGCAATTTCATTCATGAGCACCCAAGCTGCCCTGATGTTGTCGAGCGCTTACCTGCGTCATCTTTGCAGATGCTGGAAGAACTGCTGTTCTCGTTACTTTGGTATAGACATTGGGTTCTGTTCTCTTGTGGAGCTGGTGAGGTCTGCGTCATCCCCTCTTCCAGGGCTTGTTTGATCCAGCGCTGAAAAAGAACGAGACTACATAAACGTGCAACCCCTCCAGTACTTTATATGCAATTGTGCAGGATGTACTCCAAATCCTACACTTTTGTATGGCAGGGCAGACAGCTCAGGACTCTGACATTACCTCCTTCACATGCACTCAGACAGGAAACCTGCTAGAACACAGCTGTTAACGCTGATTCTAACACCGATTCTGAGACTACGATGGGTCTGATGCATCTCATTTTTGATGAGATGTATTCTAGGGATAGTAAGTCTTCAGCAATAATAATAAATATATTAATATTTATCCTTATGTTACTAGATAAAATCTAGAGATCTGTCGACTAAGAACTGTTAACAGCAAATTTCACACTGGGGTGGGGGAGCGACCAACTGTCTTAAAAACCCAATTTCTGCAGAAAGCCCCGCTTCCTGCTCAGGAGTATGAACACACTGGTCCCTTGCCCTACTAAGGCATACTAGAGCTGCACATTGATTCTGCTCCAACAGCTCCAGCAAATAAACGGCTGAGTTCAGCCACAGAACAATTCTTCCAACATCGTGCTTTCTGCCAGATCGAGAAGAGCAGCAAAAAAATCTGAGAGAACATGAGCAGCAGTTTTTGAGGGGCTAAACAATAGGAGAAAACAAGGGGAAACCATTTCTTCAGCTACAAACAATACAAATCACAGCTGGAAAGAACATGGACCAAGAAGAAGGTTTCATGTCTCATCCAAGTAACCAAGAATCAAAGTCTCAGCAAACCAGCTGCTACAGTGGCTGCGCCAGCCCTATACCTTGATACAAACTGATTCCTGAAGGCAGGCAGGCAACCTCTGCTTGCTTTACTATAAAAAAAAAAGTAATCTAATGAAAAGCATACAGATGATTCAGTAAAGTGACAGCAAAAGTGCAGGAAAAATACAGTAATTTGCATTTGTGTAGTTTACCCAAGGGACTGACTTTACCAGCCTTTTATCCCCCTAGAGAGGTTTAAAAACATTACTTCGCCTTTCAGTAAGCCATAGTTCTTCCATATAGCATCAACGTGTACCCTATCAGAGATACACACACACACATATACATGCACATACACAGTCTTACAATTCCTCAAAGTTAACCTGAAAGTACATCAAAAGCTCAGTGCCCACAATCCTCAAAGTACAATTGTCACAGTAGAAAACTTTAACACAAGGACGAAGGGCAGGTCACAGTATTACTTTAATGGACTTTGCTACTATAGAGCCAACACTTTTTCTCTGTTCAAATAGGTCTCAATAGGATTTCACGTCAGCCACTAAAAGAAACAAGGAGCATCAACCAAACAGTCTGGAGCACTGCTACCTCAAATACCTCTGACAGCCAAGTCACTGTACAATGCATGATTAATGTGAGCAGGCTACACAGTTCCATTTCCTTGCAAGGTTTCAGATATTGGCATGCTTTGGACACAAGCTGAGAACATCAGCTGGGTTTTTTTTTTTTGGCACAGTCCTTAATAGTTTAACAAGAAGCATGCTGGCAAGCCAAGAAAACATGACACGGGATCTATTTCAACAGCCTTTACAAATCAAGCTTTGACTGAGTAGTCAGAAGCAGAAAAGACAGAAAAATCAGGTCTTGAAAGAATAGGGCTGTCAAGCTCTGGGGTATTTCTAGACCTCAGCTAGCGGAAAAGGTGGTCTTCCCTGCGACAGTTTCCCAAAACATCCTAAACATGTCAAAGTCAGCCTTCTCCCGCAGGACATCTCCAGTCAGCATCCAAACTGCTTGTAGCATTGATGAAAACACTGAAGGCTACCAAGCGGTCACTTTCATGAGAAAGCTGGGCAACTCCTACAAAGTTGATGAAAACCCTCATTAGAACTGTTATTGATGATTTACTTTCAGAAGTGGAGATAAATCAAATGACTATCTGCAACATCTGTTCTGGGCACAGAACCTTTCAATATTTTATTAATTATTTAGATGACACAACAGGCAGCATGCTTAAGTTCTTAGACGACACCAAGCTGAGATAAACTAAAACACACTGGAAGACAGTTTTCAAAATTCTTGGCAAACTAGGAAATTGATAGGAAAAAACAGCAAGGATTGGAAAAAAAGTACCACACTAAGTCAGGAACAAGTACTTGTGAAAATACAGGCTAGAAAACTAATGAGTTGTTCTTAAAAAGCCATGAACCGAACACGAGTTTAAATCAACTCACTGAGGCGAGGGGGGGAGGATTTCAATCATCATCCTGGGATATAAAAAAAAGAGGGTACAAGCTACAACTTCTGCTTTATTCAGCACTGAAAATGCCCCAGCTACAACACGACATCCAGTTTTGGACACTGGACTTCAAGAAAAACGAGGACCAGAAGGAAGTCGTCCATAGAACCAGCAATGAGAATTATCAGAGGACTAGAAAAATAGGCAAAGGTAGGAAAAGGCTGGAAGATGGGGGTGACAGGGAACATAGTAAATTTTCAACAGTAAAAGATTGTTTCTGAAGAAAAGGAATAATCTCTCAGTTCCATAATGGAAAGGATAATAATAGACTTCATCTTTTCCAACTGAGATTAAGACTGCTATAACCTCTATCCCCAAAGAGCTTAAATAAGAGGGTGAACAAACTGCAGGCATTACATGAATAGAAAATAGATTAGATATCCTCAAGACTTTTCTGTGAATGCATGACACCGGGTCCACATGCAGTCCTTGTCACTGGCTGCATGATAACAATTCTCATTGAACTGGGAACTTCTTGGCTAGTTGTGCAGCAAGTGCAGCAAGCAGGGAACTAGGAATAAATCTGCCAGTTCCAGTCTGGATGCTTCTCTGTTCCCTGAGGCTTGAGGACACTTAAGTGTTCAAAAAAGCGGCATGAGCCTTGCAATTCTCAGCTTATAGATGAGTGGGGAGATGGCCCATACATATGGGAACAAACAGGATTTTGGTCACATATGAGTACAGATGAACTACTAAAAGCTGTACCTATGAAGGAAATACCCAAGAGAGACCGTAGCTTCTTCTCATAGGTGCAGGTTAGTGCATGACAACTTAGCTGAAGGTGGGAACAGCAAGGGCCACAACTTCTTTCTGAAAAAATTTCCCTTGAAAGAAGGCAAAGAATCCAGGATGTGGATTCTTTGAAACCACATTGGTTTCACATTGGCCTTTGAAACCAATTTGGACCTGGCTTTGAAAGTTACCAAGACCGGGAGATCAGACAGGACCAGGAACAAGAACCAGGAAGTGCCTTTGAGCAAAACTGACGGGTGATAGGCAAGACGGATTCTGACAGAAATTCTATATACCAAACTAACCTGAACTGCTGTTTCCCTGCTGATAGGTAAATGCTAATATTTACTGGCCACATACCATCTCGGGAGAGGAATAAAGTCCTCAGCTGGGCTGTCAGTTCAGGCTTGCTGCAGGGCAACAAATATCTGCTGTGGATAGACAGTCTATAGTCCAATGCAGAGCTGCGAGCTTGCTCTTGCAAACAGGCAAACTCCGAGCTTTGCTAAATAATAAAGGTAAAATATAAACATCGTCCAAAAGACGATGGACCATGATTGAGGCACTGTATTCTTGAGGTGTTTTGCAACACAGTACTGCCCCCGCGTTACCAACCATCCTCTGATTGTGAAAGTAGAAAAGAGGATTAAAAATGCACTCCAATGACTGCATCAATGTATCAG